GAAGCAGCAAGAAGCATCTGAAATTGGAATTTTGCAACATCAGGGGTTTCTTGCCTGTTCATATTTCTGATTGTGTAGAAAACCTTTTCATGTGTGTGTGAATTAATGCCATCTCTGAACAGGTTTTCATGTCAGGATTTTGGATTATGTCATTCAGTCATGACAGAGGAATATTTTGAGAGCTGCCTGCCTATAACCAGTTTCAGCAGCACTACTGTCTTTTTCAGCAGCATTTGTTTGGTTATTTGAACATTTTATTGTCTTTTTTGTGTTTTTTTTATATAAATGACTGAATATTGGAAAAGGGACTGCTAATGCTAATGACAAGGACATTAGGTCTCATTTAGCTAATGCACTTCAGACAGAAATATAAAAATTCATCAGGTGAGGCAATCAAAACAGTTAATCCTTAGCCTCAAATGGATGTTCACAGAATTTAAACCCATCTGTAGTCTTGTTATATAGGAAAAAAAGCAAAAGCTAGGAACATATATGGAATTCTGGAACTCTGTCCTTGATGACTGTATACAAAAGGGGAGCTATAACTAAGGATATATATATATATTTATTATTTTGGTATCACTAATACACAATTGTATGAGAAACACTGTGATTACTAGCTTCCCCCCATTATTACTAGTCCCCACCACCAGACTGGGTTCTTAACTACCATGCTGCAAATCAGTTCACAGAAGACATGCAAATGGTCAATGATCATAAAGATGCTCAATCTCACTCCTAATTGAAAATACATAAACTGAAATAAAACTTCATTTTCTACTTATTAGAGTAGTAGAGATGAAACAAATGAAAATACCCAGTACCGAGGAACAGGTATTTTCACACTAGTTTAGTAAGTATATAAATTCGTGTAACTATTTTAGGGCAATTTTGCAGTATCTCGTAAAAAAAACAAAACAAAACAAAACAACATAATCCTTGATATTGTAATACAGTTTCTATAAAATGCATTCTAAAGAAAAACTCCCCCCTAATACGCAGACATTCGCAAAGATATTCACAACAGCCTTGTTTATAGTAGGGTAGAAACTGGAAATAATCCAAATGTTTACTTGGGTAATATTGTTTAAAAATTATATGTTAGAAATACTATGTGTACCTTTAAAAAATGAGGTATATCTATGTATACTAACAGAAAAACATTCAGGCTGTAACTCTTCAATGTAAAAAGCAAGGAGAAATGGATTAATAATATGATCTATCCATATCATGGAATATTATCTGGTAATAAAAAGAAATGATGTACTGTTAACATGCTTTAACATGAATAACCCTTGAAAATATTATGTTAAATATCATGATGCTGTTTTAATGAAATGTCCAGAATAGGCAAATCCATAGAGACAGAAAGCAACTGGTGGTCACCTAGGGGTGATGAAAATGGGAAGGGTTGAGTGATGTTGGCTAAAGGGCTCAGAGTTTCTTCTTGGGTAATGAAAATGTTCTAAAGTTGACTACGATACACTAAAAGCCATTGAATCATACATTTTACATGAGTGAATTTTACAGTACATACTGAATTTTATCTCAAAGCTGTTCTAAAAAAGCACAATATAAACATATATAATTTATGATGATAGACTGTCATTAATAAAATGAAAATAACTTCCATTCCACAGAGACTACAAATTATTTTAAAATCTGCCCCTCTTTGAAGAAAGGTATCACAGGGAATTTTCATTTTTTATGCTAGATTTAATTTTCAAGTACATTAATACTTCAGAAAGCAGACAAAACTTTTAAACTAAAATACAATGCCCAGAAGAAAAAGCACTTGTAAAATGAAGTATGAAGTCAGTACGATCAGACAGTCATGGAATCAGGGGGCAATATGCCCCTTCAGAGGATCACTTTCACAGCCTTGTGACAGTGAAGCAAGCAAGAGTTTGCATTTGGAGCAAGGAAGTGAGTCCAGGAAGATTACTCTAAAGAGAAGCAAAGTAACAAGGAAGCGTACTCATGGGCAGAAAAGAAAGCTGGTGGGAAGGTAATTCCCCTTCCTTGCTGGAATATCATGTGGAAATGAAACAGGAGCTATGAAAAGGTCAAAGGGCATGGTCAAGGCAAGAGGAAGATAAAGGCCTTCCTTTAGGTATAACAGCAAGGGAAGAAAAATTAAATAGGTAGAGTTTAACACAGTTAAGGAATTCCCTAGGTAACTGAATTTGTACTGTATTCAAATGTTTCTTCAACCTTTGTTTTGAGGCAGTATGTTACACAGAAGACTGCAGAAAGTGGTATTTTCCTTAACAAGATTGTTTTTAGAAAAGGCACAGTGAGAGCTTTTAGAGGTATGCTTTATAGCTATACTCTAGGTACCCATACCTGGAGAAAGCCTAACTATAGGACTGAAGCTATTCTAAGTTATCAACAGTTAGATAGTATTGATGGAGCTAGAATCAAGGAAACAATTCATCTCCAAGGGGCCATGCTTGCACCCTTCATCCATTTCATTTATAAATAGGTCACAGCATTTCTGCAGGAGCAGTTAAGACAACTACAAGAAAACACCATAGGAATAATACAAAAGAATACCAAGTTTATTGTCTTCCTTCATATAGGGCCACCCTAGTCCACTCTTACAGACACGGTAGTACCCCCACCTTCAGCCTACTCTTTATGATTTCTGTAAGATTCAAGAAAAAATTCAAATATTACATGTTCATAGCTTTAAAAAGAAACACAGAAAGGCCTATATAAAAAAAATAACTGTCCCTTGAGCCTTTCCCATCCTGTCAATCCTGGTCCTTACCACTCCTTTATTCCATTAGCTATTTTTCTCACTTACCCTTCACAAAGTGCTTACCCCATCATCCTATCGAGGTTTAATAAATCAACATATTTGCATCATCATCACTCTAAAAGTTGCTCATTATATAGCATTCTTTAAAGATTCAAGAAAGAGGAACACATTTTTAATTTTGATTCCTATTTATTCTCTATGCCAAAGTACAGGTCTAATTTTCATTTATATCTAACTAGATGACTGGAAAATACATGAATAAACCCATCACAAAATGCAACAGATCTCACAATTAGGAATTTTTTTTCCTACTCATGGTAGTGAGGGAAGATCATCTGGAGGGGACACCAAATACACAAGGGAAATCTATTAATGGTAAACTGCAAACCTAGTGGAAGTAAACTACCTCAGGTTCTTTGTGTTACAAGTAATAAACTGAATAAACTTAGGAATATTTTTTTCCTACTCATGGTAGTGAGGGAAGATCATCTGGAGGGGACACCAAATACACAAGGGAAATCTATTAATGGTAAACTGCAAACCTAGTGGAAGTAAACTACCTCAGGTTCTTTGTGTTACAAGTAATACGAAACTGAATAAACTTAGGAATCACCAACCATAACCACTTAGGGTTCCATGATCATAAATGCCAAATGTCTTATTTAGCTTTTCCACACTGGAGTGGAATGAAGAATGTTTCTGCTTTAACTTAAAAGATATATATGCTGAAAAATATAAATTTTCAATTACACAGAATTTAAAATCCAGAATTCTGAAACAGAAAACTCCCCTTCTATGTTCAAAATTCATGTCCATAAAGACAGTCAAAGCATGCTGTGTTTTCTGAATTGTGGAAATTTAATTATTCCCAAATTTGCATATATTTTAATTCAGTGCAAATGTTCACTGCTATGGTGAGCAAATTAAATGGCCAGCAATTAAGTTAACTATAACTCTATTCCTCTCTTTTCATGTATTTGGATAAGTATGACTATTATTAAAAGTACGGTACTCACACTTGGCATACAGACAGTCCATCATTGACTGCACTAAGTCCAGTTTGGCTTTAATGGAAAAGTTGATAAAGTTGGTATCAACCAGGATGTGGTAAGGTGGGCCCAGCTGTGTGTTATACTGGAAGAATAGGCAGGAGGGGTGTTGGGGGCTGAAGGAAAAGGACACAAAACACAAAGTAATGTCTACAGTGATACTTAATATCAACACAAAAAACAGTTTGGAACAGTTTGCTATAGATTAAGCTCCTTTTTCTTTGTTAGTTGGGAATAAATCCTAGTAAATTCTGTGATAATATATTCATCACCAATCTAGAGCAAAAAGAAAAAAATCAAGAAAATGTGATAAGGTTTCATGAAGTTAAATGTATTTACTTAAGAGAATCTTTATTCTAAAAATACGTTACTATTTTTGGTGATACATTCTCTCTCTTATGAAATGCTGGTGTGTTAAACAAGAATCTTTTGAAAGATTCTTGACAAAGAAAAAAAATTAATAATCGGAGATTTAATACCTGATATTTTAGGGGAAATTGCACTGCTCCATGAAATCCAAAAACCTTCAAACATTGGAACTGGTATATGTTCATCAATATCACTTTAGCATAGTTGTGCCATACTTAAAAATTATAGAAAATAAGAGCAGGGAAGCCTGAATTTCTAAGAGGTCTATGGTTTCAGAATGTCTCTTCTAGTTCTAAAGGAAAACTTGAAATTTTTTATTACTCACACTTCTCTTTCCTTGAGTGCACTGGGATCTTTCTTTTCTTTCTTTTTAGGTTTTAATCGATCCTTCTCTTTACTAGGAAAAGAAAAGCAAAATAAACGCAGGGGAGAAAACAAAACCAGAGTAGTCATAATTTCATTAAAAATTAAGTTTTTTTTTTGGTCTACAGAGGAAATCCTACTTTCTGACTGCTTTATATTAATATCAGCATACACTTTTTGAGCAGTTATACAAATAACTGGAAAGTAGAATGGAAATAATGAGTAAAATATGAGAAAATTAAAAATCTCTAGCTAATAATCCATTAAAATTGTTATTTGGTAAATAAATGTGGGCTATACTATCATACCTTTCTTAGAAGCTCTCATCCAGGATCAAAATCCAACTCAAAGCAGTGTATAAATAGGCTGACATTTACATTCTGAAGACTCAGACGCTTCAACACTGGGGTTAAAGGGTTCCCCCATAGGCCTCTTACATAAGGCTAATATGTAACAATACATATACAAAATTTAACCCTTAAGTGGAAATAACTTATTAATGGGGCAAGTTTCCTAAAAATTACATAATAAATACATACTAAGGGCTGAGAATACCCTAACTCTGATTCCTTTGTTCTGTGGCTTTTTTGGAGGTAGTGATGATTTTTATTTAAAAAATTTTTTATATTGAAGTACATACAATAAAATGTACAAATCCTAGTGTACAGTGTTCTGAGGCTCTTAAAAACATGAAAACTAGTCCTTATTTAATAACTTTGACCATTTTTCACTGAAGCAGGGAAGCTATTTAGGTTCTCCTTATAATAGGGAATATCACTCCCCTCTTCTCCAGGGTTCTGGATTCTTATAAAATTTATAAAATGGAGACACCTAGGTGTTTTCCCATTTCTTCTTTAAAAAATATTGGAGTGTCAGGTGCTGGAGACACAGGACACACATGGTCTCTGACCTCACTGTTTTTCAATAATTATAAGACAAACACTTTTTCCTGGGGAATGTAGTAATGAAATGGCAAGAACATGAAGATAATTCTACCTACCTCAGAGAACTGTTAGGAGGCTTAAATGTGATATGGCACATAAAGTACATAAAAATGGCAGAACGTGAATACTTAACAAATATTTAATTTCTATCTCTTTCCCCAGTGTAATCGCTCAGCAGCAGAGTACTATACACTGGACTTCTATCCCATGCTATATAAAATCCAAGACACAATAATTAAAAGTAAACACAAAATAAAAACTTATACTACTTATCCCCTCGTTGACTCCTATTATCTCTGGGCAGTCTATGAACCCAGTGGATTCCAGACACTCACAGCCTCTGATCTCTGAGACTAAGCATTCGCTTCATGGTCGCATACTTCCTTGCTTTCTTTTGCTTCCCCTTAAAACGGAAATTATAGAGTTAAAATAGTTGAAATACATTGCATACTGAGTTCCTTCTTTTGTCCATTCCCTTCCCCTCTTCGCTCAATTACCCAGCTTCTCTTACCCTCTCTGCCCCAACCCCTCCCCCTCCCCACTTCTAGGGGATAACAGACACCGCTTGGAATAGTTTAAGAGCCAAGACCAGAAAGAATATAAGCAAAGGGAATGTGGCGGAAATTCGGCTAAAGACTGACTCCTTCAATCTCCGCCCAAAATGTGGTCTAACAATGTCCTTTCTCCAACCCCTTTCTCACCATGTTCACGCCGTATTCTCGTTTCTTCCGGAATCCTCAAAGACGCCAATTTTTTGCGTCATCTACATACCGCTTCCGGCAAAGGATAGCCCGGAAGCGGAAGTCGATTCAGGAAACGGAGACGCTTAGATCCGTTTTCTAGTTCTAGCCGGGTTCTGCCCGGGGGTCTCTTGCGAGGAAGATCGAGGGCCGGTCTTCTGCCGGGTGGTGCCGCAGCCTTCCGGAACAACAGAGCTGTGACTTCGCCGCGCTGCACCCCCTCAACTCGGGTATCGTTTCTCTCTGCCCCTCCAGCCCAGGGCACTGCCTAGAGGACCTGCAGGCACCAGAGCTCCAGTGAGAGGGAGGACAAGAGGGGTTGGAGGTCTGAGTGGCCTGGTAGTTTGAGGTACCCCGTTGTCTTCATCTCTCAGCGCTGGTGTGTCGGGGCTCTACGGTGCAACTCGGAGGCTCTGGTTCCTAGCTGGTTCTCCTAGTCAGCAGGGTGCTTCATGCAGCTAGGTGGACGATTCTCCCGATTCTCCTCGAGTAAATAAGTACCATGCATTCCTCGCAATATAGGTACGTCACGGGGAAGGCAGTACAGCACGGAGAAGACAAGTGATGACTCTAGCGTCTTACTATGCTAATAGTGACTGCAGTTGTGTATGGGGGGGACGACTTGATAATATGGGTGAATGTTGAAACCACAATGTTGTGCATGTGAAACCTTCATAAGATTGTATATCAGTGATACCTTAATTAAAAAAAAAATACCAGTGCATTCATCTTCGTGAAACAGCATTTGAGGGCCTTCTTTAGACTACCTTTAGGTAACTGGGGCTTAAGCTTGCATATCCTAGTAGTTACTAAGTCAGAAAAATGGTGGGAAATAATAGATATTTATTGTGAAGCCATTCTTAATGGAAAAGGGAGAGTTTTTGAGAAATAGAAGGGAAAGAGTGCTTCCATTTTTATGAGTATCTGTTACGTGCTCCAGTGGTTCTTAACGTTTTGAAGATCACGTGTCCCTTAAAAGTCTGTGGAAATCCAGGGACGATTCTTTAAAAATGGGTACACATACTACACTTGTCATATAATCTGTGCGACTCGGGGACTCTGACACCTGTCTATGGATCTTCTACATGTCTGTGAACTTTAGGTTAAGAACCCTTCTTGTGTGGTGTACTTGGCACTTTATTTTACTTTTGATATTCATAATAACTTAAGAGCCCTCGTTTTACATGTAGGAAGCTAAATAAGGCTCAGACTTCATTCAGAGGTTTGTTTAGGGCTGTTTTTTATTACAAAGCTTGTACTTTTCTTATTGCACAAAACTACTCTAGTATTTGAAATCCAAAAAGATTATTAGGTTTAAAAAAGAAAACGCTGACCATTGCATAACCCTTTCAATGAAACAACATATTGGGGTTAATTCCTGCTCTGCCTCTTACTAGCTGCATGACATTGGATGAGTAATCTGCATCAGTTTCTTCATCTGTAAAATGAAGATAATTGTAACAGTACTTGTCTTACGGGGATGTTATCAGGACTATGTGAAGAAATGAAGTCCTTAGAACAGTGGACACAAGTGAACCCTGTTAAAGTGGTTTTTGTTATTATCATTGTGTGTCTTCCAACATAGAGTATATAGTGGTGCTTGAATTTTATGCCAGTTGTATGGTAATATGGTTGCTCTGCTTTGGAACTTGAATATGTTGATAACCTCAAGAACCCTGTGAAGTTTTCAGTTCTTGAAAAGATCACAAAGGGTTTCTTGAGTTGATTTTGAGTATAGGCACAGTCTTCCTGTTGCTTCTTTCTCTTGTAGGCATGCAAACATATAGTTCACATACTTGACTTTCTAAGCTCTAAATTTTTGATGGTGAAATAGTTTTATTATTGAAGCATTTACATATGTGCCTCCTGCTTTACCCCATTTTTGGTCCCTAGTGGTCTTAATCTTTACAGCTTGTCTGACAGCTGTCATACATGGGTATTGCCGACAGCTGCCACTTTTTTGATGCATCAAAACCTCTTGGGGATTAGGCGATAAAGCTTTTTAAGTAGACTGATCAGTTGTTTGTTTATTTTTAATATTTGGAGACTGATTAGTATCATAGGTTCAGAGGAAAATTGCATATAATTAAATAGTAATTTCCATGTAAATTCAGTCATTGACAGACTCCAAACACTCTCCTTGTAATGTGTACCATGAATTTTGGAATCATGAACAATAACAAATTTTGAAAAACAAGCAATTTGTAATACCCATTCTGAGGATTTTCCAATTTCTTTGATTGCTAATACTTGACAGGGAGCCAATTAGTGTAGGAACACCATGGGGGATCAGAACATACTTAGAAACATGTTTTTCTTGCAATTTTACTGCAATCTGAGGTCTAAGATTAAAGCACTCAAATACTCTATAGCATGTTTTGATGGTGATGGCATGGGGGAGATGTTGCTTTGTGTTGGGTAAGAGCAGAAAGTAATTGCCTTCGATTACATACTTGTGAGAAAAAAAATTATTTCAGTCCTAGCAGTCAAGAGGATTGTTTTGTATTTTTCTACAGTTTTGAAGAGAAAGAATTGTTCAAGGTATTTGACCCACAGTTTGAACACATAATTGGGCTTAGACTTCATTCCGTTCACTAATTGGTCTAACTTACTAATTTAAGTTGATTAAATTTCTTTATAAAATTATGGACAATGAAAGATTCCTTAAAGAACTCTTGTATTGCAATGTTAGAAAGTTAAAGGTAGATTCACTTTGTGGCCATCAAGGGAAAGAAAATTAATTCACAAATATTTTCTTCATTTCAAGTTACAGTTTCATACTTGTTTTTATGTTTCATGTGGTAGTTTTTCTCCCAACAGATATTAGTTGCTGTTAATTACTTTTCAATTAACTTGACTGCCTCCTAAATGTGGTAGCATGGTATACAGCATGCTCTATTCCTAAGGTATTGATATTGAATTGGTTCATAAGGATACCTCAGAGGTACTTTATGGATGCATGTTCATTCATTCAGAAGGTACTGAGGTCCCATTCTGCCCTAGGCAGTGTACTACTTACTCTTCAAGAACCCAGGTCTGTATTGGAGAAAGGTTTGTGGATAGATAAATTATGGTAGGTGGTTGAACAGAGGTATGCAAATTGAAATATTTTAGAGCAATTACTTGTTCATCTTTCTGGAAGTGGTCCACATCAAAGTATTGTTGTGTAATGTATATATGAATTCTGACACTGTATATATATCAAAATTGAATAGTGTTATATCACCATGATATATATGTATCTATATAGTGTGTGTGTGTGTGTATGCACACTATAACATCATATAACAATATATGGCATGTAAAAATCTAATATAACAAATTAGATCTTATTACCTTAATGGATTCTAGGATATCATTTTACCTTTAAATTACTTTAGCTTAGGTTTAAATTTCAGCTATCTTTCTTTGTTTTCATTTTCTTTGACGGATTCGTGAATGTTTGGCCTTCACTAATATTCTCTTGTATAGTAGTTCTCAAACTTTTGAGGCTATTTAACTTTATTGTAGTTTGTGTGTGTGTGTGTGTGTGTGTGTGTGCACATGTATGTGTATGCCTGAGGACTTGATATGGTGTTATCTCACCGTGATATTTTTTTCTGGTGGGACTCTTGAAGCCTGTTCTACAAATTTTGGTTTAATAGAGACATGAGTATTCATTTAGTATTTGAAATCAAATAGTCATAGTAGATAAATATTTTGTCATTGAGTCTGAATTAACAGCACCATATGATTGTAATGTGAAGTTTTGTTACCTTGAATAGTTGAGGAATTTGTACCATGTTTTTCAGAGCTTGTAGGTAAATCATTTCAGTGTAGTTTACCTGTTTGTGTTGAGATGCTAATAACGAACATTTGTCCATTGTGTTTTCTATTCATTATCCTTTTTTGGCCAGAGATGAGGTAAAGGTAATCTAATAATATACAACAGACATTTTCTGTAGTGTCCCCTTATTTTTGTCCAGCAATTCTGCCCAGGTTTAACCTCTCTCTTGTCCACTTAGGGAGGTTCAACTCCAAGGATACGCCCTGGTGTATGTGGTGAAGCTATTAGGAAGAGAAAACAGTTGAAACCTCCCAAGTGTGATCTAATTTTTCATGTCATGGTGAAGAAGGAAACCCATTTATGGCTGCATAAATGATTTATAGAAAGGAAATGAAAAGGATTTGGAAAAAAATGTTTTAACTTAGCATTACCTGAATTAGGGCAGGGACTAAGGCATAATCAGAATCTTAAGGGGAGTGAGAATGTAAAGTAGGGAACCATATGTAACTTTTTTAAAACAGATTTTATTCTGGAATAATTTTAGGTTTATAAAAAAGTTGCAAAGACAGTACAGAGAATTCCTGTAACATTTTTCCACTGATTTGTTTTACAAGTTTTTCCACTAATTTCCTTTCTGTGTTCCAGGATTCAATCCAGGATACCACATTGCTACACAAACCAGACCATGTGTAGTTTTGATAAATAGGTTGGGGTTTCTAATGGGCTTTTCCTCTGCGATGTATGTGGCCCAGTAATCCCCTCAGTGATGAAGAGAGAAAATCACTTACCATGAGAATAAACAATAATGCGT